GACCTGCGAGTGTGAGAAAGGCATTGTCACTTGCATTTTGCGTCACAGTGAGTCAGAAACATTATTGTACAGGGTGGACCAAAAGAGGGTTCCCAATAACGGTTTATCCTCAAACAGGAAAAATTTAAATCACTAACTGCACGGGGAAAGCTCATGCAGATTTATTTAATTAAAACTGTTTTGAAAGCTTGACATTATATATCTTGAAAATCAGGTAACTTGAAATATCCAAGAAGATGGACTTATTGCAAGGCAAACCTCTTTCAGTTTTCGTCTATAGATGCGTATATTGAGCATTTAAAAATATGTTCCGTCGAAGAAATGCGTTTAATCATGCACTTCATAGGTACTGTTAATTTTGGCGAGTGTAAGTTTAAATGGTCATCCCGACATGAAATACCATTTTGAAAATAATCTAAGACTTCCTCGACTCCATTACGCATGCTAATTTTTTTTTTAGCATTATATTATCGGAAACAGTTTATTATGCAATTATTCAATAAATATTTAGTTTTTTTTTTCATTTAAGAGTAGTTTGTTCAATACTGTATGCGATGAAGGACACCAGGATGTTCACCCAAATTTTGGATGCTCAATTTTCCGATATTCGAATGGTTTATGATATTATAGAGACATATAATTCATTCCACAAGTACTGTATTTTAGCTCAAACAAATAGATGATAGTAAAATGCCTTCATTTGCCTGTTTTTTAAAGACTTTTTGCCTCGGATCCCAGATACATTTTGCGGGAATTAAAAATCACTTTGAATGATGCCATAGCAAGAATTAATAACCACAGCACAAACGCATTGTTCTCGAATGTCCCGCTTTCACACATAACATCTAAAACACGCTGTTCGACACATCAGACAAACGGGAATTAAAAATCACTTTGAATGATGCCATAGCAAGAATTAATAACCACAGCACAAACGCATTGTTCTCGAATGTCCCGCTTTCACACATAACATCTAAAACACGCTGTTCGACACATCAGACAAACTCCAATGAAATTCATCACGCTACTGCGATATGACGCGAAGTGTCGTCTTCTTCCTCGTCTTCATCTCGTGACAAGGACAATGGGGAATACGTTGAGTCATTGATGGTGAAATGCGAGGAATTTCCCGCAAAATTAGTTGGCATATTCAACTCGTACGTCGGTGTGTATTGACTGAGTCGCTTCACTCGGATGTTCACGACGACGCCAAGGATGAAGGTGAAGATCATCACTCCTGCGATGTGCATTGCGAAAATGGTTGTGCTCTGCGAAAATGAAATCGAGTTCATCATCGACATCCTGAAGGTCATCGCTTGAAATTTGAAACCCTTCTTTGGAGACAGATTTCAGTTATCTACAAAGAAAGTTTTTTTTTCGGATCACTGATGGCGGAATGCCCTGTTGATTTCCTAGTGATTGCCACCAAAGAATTAACCAGCTGATCAATTTAAATTTGCGCACAATGCATATTTCAATGAACGTTGCCATTATTCAGAAAGAAAGATACACGTCTGTCCTTCTTTTGAGCGTCCAAGCCATTTTTTAGCAGAGCTGTGACGAGAATAATAATATTTCGTGACGCCAAATTTCAACTTTCCAATCTCTGTTTATTATTTTTGGGGGAAGGGTAAAACATAAATTCGTTCGTGCAAATACTGTATATCTGTTATAATTTCTTCATTACTTTGAAACAAGTTCATGAAAGCATTATTATTTGCATTGAAAATTAATTGTCACGAAGGATTTGTGCTGTACTGGATGAATAGTAGAACTAGCAGCAGGAAAACTATAGCCTACAACAAGCGGAATATATTCTTTCATATTGATTTTCTTGTCAAGATGTCAGAAGGAACTTTCGAAAATATATACTGCAAACCTGAAACAATTTTTTTACAAGAAATGATACATTCTTGCATGGGTGACTGATCGTGGGTCATTTCCGATTTACACTAAGGTGGTTCAACCTTCACAATAGGAGCTCTTTCATCCCTCATGTTAAAGATCTCCTCTTCTCAGTTCTCAGCAGTCTCACACACTATCCCCTTCAAAATTTCGTGTCCATCAGCAATTTAATGGAGGACAGAAAATTGTGCAGCGTTTAGAAGAAACATTACGCAAAACTGAACCAAAACTTGTTATGCGATGAATGAAACCATCCAGAATATTGTATACGTACAACGGTTCAAAAACCGACTCATTTTTTTTTTAAATTGCCATATATTGTCGTCTTCAACCATTTTAATTGAAACCGGGGAAAATCGCTTTTATTGATTCAGTTTAAATGTACCGTATTCAACGTGGCTTCATCTGCGAATTTCACACACATTTCAGCTCTAATTTCGGAGAAGCTTGAAATCCCGCGTCAGGCGTTATAAAAAGTTAGCTCCTTCCCGATTCATGAGTATAGTGCTGTATTTTTTACAACATAAATTCTTAAACGGTCATGTCGAAGCAACAAATTTTGTAGAAGACAAAGTGTCAGATTTCCGCGGAAACATCTGATAAAAAAAAGGAGATAGAATTCATAGTATACCATCATGAGTTCGTCGTGCATGGCGTGCTCACTCGCAGCTTTGCCCCAAATTGGCCTTGGGCCGCCCCCCATGTCCTAGGTAGGATGACACTACTTGGTGTGGGGGACCTGCTCCCAGTCGCAGCAAGACGGGTCTCGTCGGTCGTGCAAGGCAGCCACGAAGTAGAGTTAGCGACGTGTCCCGACACACGCTAAAATCGTGTACACCAGGTACATGTGCAACTATTCGAGGCCCATGAAATAAAAAATGAATCAAATAAATAATTTGATCAAGTACTGTATACTGGATATAAGAGAGTTGTCTCAAAGATGTTCAAAATGGAGCACTTGTCATCACAGAGTACACTTGATCGGGGATGCCAATAATACAGAAATATTTTCTTAATTCATATCCGCCTACTCTTAAGCATGTAAAGATTTTCTTCCGGAATTTTCAAGGGAATCACAGCGAGCAAAAGCTTTTCAAGACTCCTGTGAATCAGCTAAGCAGAAATTGCATGATTAAAATGTTCAGCAAAATTATTCCGAAATCAGTGTCTAACTTTGTAAGCACCAAATGGTGTTGTTTTCTTGCGAGCATACAGCAGTTGTCATTTCGTGAGTCTAATTCTAACTTTTGCTATGATCGGTCCGTGTAATTATGATCGACGACGAAATTATAGAAGACATCTGCTAGTAGATGGGGCTTTTGCCCATATTATAGGGCTTTTCTAAAATGAAATTCTCTAAACAATTAAATTTTTATGGTCCCTCAAATTTCGTTGTGAAGAGAGTTCAACTGAATTTTTTTCAATTTCTGCGAGTTGATGAAAACGTTGCATTCAGAAATATGTGAAGAATAATGAGGAATCATCGTACATCTGAGACTTTTTACGACCCCTGTTTGCTTTGGTCCTTGGATTCACGCATGCTTGAAAAGATCACAACATATATTTTTAAAGCATACATTGTTGCCTCTCAAGATTAAGAGAAGAATCCTGATTTTTTGTAATAAAAATCAAAGTGATCTCTTCTCAGTTCAACCCCAATCTTTCGAGAAAATAAAAGCATTCAGTGTATTTGCGACGCTGATATGTTGCTTTGCTCAACTTCGCGCGGTCATTCAAAGGTTGTCTCGAGAAACATTTGAAACCTTTTAAACAAACCTGGACATCCAACATAGTCCTGCCATGCAAATGATGGTAGAACAGCATGGCCTCGATGAGCAAAGCCAGCAAAAACGTGGCGTAGTCGAGATCACGAGGCAGTGGAATCCGGTAGAAGTTCAGCACTTCAGTCAACGCTACCATCCCGAAGAAAAAATACATGGTGATGTGCTGCCCGTTTCCTTGAACCACAAACTTTCCGTTCCGGAACCCTGTGTAAGCCTCGCCTACATATTTAAAATAGGAAAAAAAAATTATCATTAAACCAAGGAGATTTATGATAGTTCTGCGCTGTTACGGGGTAAACAATTGAAGGAACCACATCAGTCAAAAACCAGACGCGGTAAAGTCACAGACTCCTGGTGTAAATCAATTGTCGGTTGATTTACCTGGATGTAGGTATTCTTTTGTGTTCTAAGGAAATACGCTTTCGTAATTTAACTCGCATTTAAAAAATATTTCAAAGAAAATTAACCCTTCTCTGCGTGCGAGTCACTTCAATTTCCGTTGTAAGCATTTTATTTTCAAATTACTCTAAAAATTCCAAAAATCGCACTTTTGTTGTCCAGCTTTTCAAAACAAATTATTTCATATCAAGGAGTGAAAAACAGCATTGTCTCCTATTCCGTTATGCGTTAAGGCAGCACATATAACGTGAGTCGGCTTTATTTGCGATAACATATTTCCTCGAGAATTGTCGACTTTCCAAAATGTTTCTGCATGTTGCCTCATTCAGATGTTTAAATCTTTCAAGTGCGCTTTACTGAAACTTTGACAGGAAACGTTCTGCTTCAGTAAAAATAGACTGTGTGGCAACTTGAATGCCAGAATCAGAAAGGCAGAATTAAACATGCATGCCCAGCCATAATTGACTATGAGATGGCAAGTAATGGCATGCAGTAGGCCACATGAATAATACAGTGATACGACGTGCTTCTCTCTTGTAACCGAGGCAAGCATCGATCAAAATGCTATCCTTCACAATTACCTGGATTATCTATTCTTGTACAAAAGCACACTTATAGGAAAATTACAGAATAATATTTCTCATCCCACGTCAAAGTAAAAAAAAAAAACCATAGTGCAGTGATGGGATATTAGGCTTTCTTCAAGGTTAATTCACCTTGAAGAAAGCCTAATTTTAAAACTCAAGAACGATTATATTTTCAGTAACATTGGTCAGCAATTCGAAAGAGCTTCTAGTATACGGTACAGTATATGTTGAAAATTAAGGAGTCTTCAACCAAGTTCGAAACGATAATAGACTCGTATAATTTTTTGGAAAAAAAACATCCAAAGCCGTTTTCAAATCTTACAAGAACTCTCCCATTTTATATTGATCATTGGATTTTATTATGATCAGAGGACACGTGTCTATCGCAAATGATTTAATGCACTTTTTCGGTTCCTTGGGTTTGTTCAGTGAAAGCTGAATAAATAATTGTTCTGGAAAGTCTTGAGCATGCAACCATGGACGACCAGCCTGTCACTTCGTCCTTCAATTCTTCATTAAAAATTCAATTCGTTCAAATGAATTGATAGCAACATTGGATACGAAAGAATACAGTGTTGCCCTAATCAACAAACTCATTTTATTTTTCTCCATAAATGGTTTGTTCTTTGCTTGGGGTTTTTGTTGCACGCCGCTTTTCATGTGCTGATCGTACTGTATTTTGAAGAAAAGCGATATTTTCTCAGCAACTGCTTTCATAATTAGGTGCCATCGTCCATAATGTTAAAAGTGAACCCGAAAAATGACAGCAAGAAACCCCGGGCGGGGGTCATATGAAATTTTAATAAATGTTTTCAATGCTCGTAGAAATGCTGCAACCCATTTATACGCTTCAGGCAGTTATTTTTGCAGTCACTTTTGAAGAAAGGCGAGTTTTTCTTTCCTCGAGGAAATCTTGTTGCGTGATTAAATTTTTCAGGACACAGGAATTCATGATGAATACAATATTGAATCATATTGCGAGGCATGTCTATTCACGTAAATATACTGCACTGACCGATGATCCCAATGGTGACCAGAGTGATGAGCAGGATTCCCTGCATCGGCAGCCGATTCCCAATAAAAGGTCCAGCAACAGAAAGAGAAGAGCGAAATTCGTAATGCGTCGAAGTTTTCCCTTTGGGCAGTTTGGATTTGAAATACTTGTGCAGCAAAACCCAAAGCCACCAGAGCGAGGCTGCGATGAAAAACGACCCCGGCAGCACATGACCCATCAGAGTACCCATTTTGGAAAACAGAATACCTCGTATTCAGTCCTACTGTTTTCCAACACGTTATTCGCCGCTCTCACACTGAAGGAAAGCACTACACTAGAATGATATTCTTCCTCCTTGAATAAGAAAAAGAAGAAGAAATGTTTCATCGCTCACTGTGGCAATATGGCGAAAACGGCGAACACACTGCAAGGATGGATGACTGATTGATCAAATACAATTTCACAGAATAATGTTTTCTGCTGACCGTCCTTCAATCGTTTTATTTGTATCTGAAAATTAATCTTTTTTATTCGCATTTTTGCAGTCAACATGTCGTTGAAATCGTTCCCATTGTATATAGTAGGACCCCGAGATGCGGACGTAATTGATGTTTGCACCCTATGTCCCTATTTTGAATCATCCGGATGCCAGATCTCATTTTCCCATAGCCTTCGATGCAAACAGATTTGAGTGGTTCCCCAGTTTATCAAAAATTATGAATAATTCCTCCAAAAAATTGAAAAAATTGTTTCCGTCAATTTTAAGATACAGAAAGCAACCGTGCAGAAGAAAATCACATATCTTTTGGCATCGAAAAGAGCTAATTGAAAAGCATGAATAAGTCTTTCCATAATGTGCACAGATTCGATTATGGAAAAAAAACTCTGAAGAAGGAAGCACGAAATCAGCCTACTTTTGAGGATGAATTAGAGTACAGTTAATTCATAATGAAATGTATTTTAAATTGTTGTAAATATAAATAGGTACATATTTTCAAGAGATATCAGAATTAAAAAATGAATTTTTCCTATTTTCTTGGAAGATCTCGGCAAAGTGTCCCTATCACGAGCCATTGTCCGAATGTCATGGCAGATTTTCTCAAGTTTCCGTAACTCGAATCGTCCCGATTTCGAGGCGTCCGCATGTTGGAATCTCATTGTACTCACATATCCGTTCTTTTTTCATTCAAGCTTCATGAAAGTCGGTGGATCAACCCGCGAAAGCTTAGGAAACATATTTTTAAAATGTTCACAAGATATGTTCATTTTCAATCACAAAAAGTTCCCTTAAAGAACTCCCCCCTTCGCGTATCACAGGATAACTGATGGGAAAAAAATAAACCTATTCAAAGAATTTAACACACGCGGCAAGACTTCAGCGGTATCGGCACATTTTGCCGCGTACGTGTGCTTGACACCCAGTAAAAACGTTTTAAAAATATGAAAACATCTGTAAAAAAAAGTTGCTGCAGAAATGTACGTGATGTTTTCACGAAACTGGAACGAAATAGTAAAAAAAAAGTATAGAACCATCGACACGAAGCAGCGTGACACCTTTGCAGTCCACCAGTTATCTCGGGCTCACGCAAATGTCGACGGCAACGGACGAGATAAAATGTGCTGATACCGAGAAGCGATTGACTCACGCAGCGCTTCTCGCGTGCCTCGTTCTTCAAATCCTGCTCGAGGACACTTGAGGAACCAAGAAACTATGTTTTATGACTTTGCAAAGAGCGAAGCTAAAATGAGCAGATGGGCGAAAGAGCAAGGCTCGAAAGAGCTCGTGGGAAAAAATAAAAAAGGCACAATATTATCAAATTAATACGCGAGCATCAAGGTGACAAGAATCAGAACTCAAAGAGGAGTTGAACAAAAGAGCGAGTCTCAAAAGAGCGAGGCCGAAAAAGACCAAGCGCACAAAATAATAAGCATCAATAAATGAGCTAGTGCAGAAAAATGGACCTATAAATTACTGAAGTCTCAAATGTTAAGGTCAGTAGGGTAATTAAAGCTGAGATGGCGAAAAGCTGGGTTAGCTTCAACCCCTTTCCTTTTTTGCAAGATCTTCTTGTGGAAGCCCCTTTCTAGTCCCAAAGCCACTTTTTTTTTGAGAAAAAAGTTTCGATGAGGGAAAAATTTGATCTAGCTAGTGTGCTTTTAATAATCAGAGAAAGATTTTTCTAGATTTATATTGAAACGGTCTGAATAAAAAGATGCAGACTTGAACAAAAACAAAAAAGCACGCTTTAGAGTTGAACAGATTTATTTTATATAGCTAGGTTTAAACTTCAAAATGATTTTCAAGATCGGGTGGATGTTCAAAGCACACCATCAAAACATACATTACATTTAAATCCACCGCCGTGGTTCTTCACGCTGATAATTCAAAAACTTTTGAAACTTTCGCGAATCACTTGAACGAGTCTTTGCGGAAAAAGCAAGAAAAACCTTCGCGGGTGAGAAAAAATGTCTTTCCCTACCTCAAGAAACAGAGGGTTTGAACACAATATCGTCTTTTGTACTGAGTTCATGATAAAAGAGAACAAAGCTATACATTGAAAGACAGTTTTAATTGAGTCAGCAAGCTTTGAGATAATCCTTTCGACGATTCATATTATAAAAATAGGCTGCATATTGATAACACTCTTCTACGCTATTCATAGCCAAACGTAATGCTATTCACGCGTTTATCATAGGTATAACACCTTTGTTCAGCCACGCCATGTCGACTGTTCGAAGCAGTATAACGCTCTTCACATAGTTATTAAGAACTAGGAGTTCTACTTGTTAGCTTTAAAAGTTTTTACCTCCGAAAGTATCCCAAAAGACTGTACTCTCGAGTAGTCGAGTCGTGCAATAAAAAACCCCCACTGCCACTCCAAATGATCAATGAACTGCAAAATTATCCCAAATCCTCAGAAAACCTGTGTATCAATCAGCATTCTTGTCTTAGGTTGCAGTAGTTTGGCTTTTTCTGGACCTGCTGAACTCCACTTCGATTCGGAAATATTCCCTACTGAGCACACACAAATTTAAACTCAATTCTCAACACACAATTTTTTTTTTCGAGAAGATTGAATTTCGAGTTATTCAAAAAAATATGTTCCACGAAAAAAAAAAAGGATTATAACGCGACTGATCACTCAAAGGCTTTCGCGTTAGCTATCAGAGTTTTTTTTTTAATCTGATCTTCAGAAAGTATAGGTTGAGGGATGTCTATATAAGTTTGCACTGACGCTGTTCCGCGTGTAATGAGCACAGGCCCATCCGATACAGAGGCCCTATATAACAAGGCCAGATTTAGTGACGATATTTTTTTCCTTCTTTCCGTGTCAGAATTTACTTCACAACGGATGAATAAGTGATGAAAAACGGCGAAAAATATAAGAGGGACGAGTTTGCTGTTCGTGGACACCGATGTTTGGGTCAGCCGGAGCGGGTTTGCGGGACTTCGGTTGCCATAGTCACATACAAGTACAAATGCCTCCTTGACTCAGCTGCGGCGCGTGTCCTTCGATCAGCACACAAATCGAAAAGGATCCCTGATGCAAGTATTGACAGGCATATTTTCCACGTGTGCTTTCAAACTGTGTCTTCAGAAGGGGAAAATAAATAAAAGAATAGCCGGGAATTTGAGCGGAGATTTTAGCCGAGGGTCAACTCAACACGCAGCATAATGATCAGAACTGTGAAGCGATTGAAATTTATTAATTCTTAATTTATTTATTCTTGCTATGGTTCTACCGGTACATTTTTTTTTTTTTACTTCTAGGCAAAGAAGTCGATGCTTTATGTACAGTTCGTCTTATTCGAAACAGAATAGAAAACCAAGAGCCTCGATTTACCTTCTATTTCAATGCAAATGATTCAAAAGCAGAGATACAGTTTAAATAAATAAAATATGCTCAAACGATTTTTTTCTCGCTCTTTCGTGCGATATACAAGGTAAACTTTAATCGTTAGCTTTATTTTAGCGGTTTGCAACTCAGATTTAAATATGAAATTTTCTCGTACACTCACCAGTAGTCTATTCCCAGCAAATAATTAGTTGTTTTGAAACGCGTGAGTTTCATGCAGAATTTGCCACGTGTTTCTGCCCAACCCAAGTTATGCCTACTTGGGACTTTTGTTGATGCGTTGCAGCCAGGCGTTTTGTTACGCCCACCTGCTACGCGTAGCAGGTGGGCATAACAAAATGACATAGCAAAATGCGTTGCATATGCGTAGCAGGTGGGCATAACAAAAAGCTACCTGATATTCTTAGGATTCAAAAAATTTTTTCAACAAAAATTATCAAAAACAAAAAAAGGAAATAGATTGATTTGCATGCCGCTGTGGTTTGCATAATCTTTCATTTTGATTAATCATGTTTTACTGGTCTGTGTTCATGTGTGTTGATGGTGAGTGTGAGTGTAATTGATTCCTACTTTGCTTTGTGTCTGTACAAGTCGAAGTAATGTGACTGTTCACTCAGTGAATCTTACTCTTCATCTTAAGGCATAACTACTCGACAACCTGTAGGCTGGTAGCTTAACGTAGTTTAAAGAGCTTTATAGGGTCGTTCTTGTCAGAAATGCTTGTCTCGCCCGTGGTTCCGAAACCTGTTGCAGAATCGTGGCTTTTCCGGTCCCAGTTTCCGGAGTAGAAGTACCCGTTCTCGCCGATGAGTACGATGACGCAGAATCCGTTGTTGTTGTTGACTCGGGTTGCGAGACCCTGGGTTCAGGGCACTTCCTACTCTTTAATTTTTGGGTGGAAAAACCCCGTCAAAACGACTACCTGTACTGTGCAAAAGCCGCAAACTAAGGTAACGAATAACAGCAACGGCTGCGTGTTCTGCGCCTTAAGCCGCAATACAACGACCAAGACAGGGAACTTCTCGTGTCATGTCGGTTGGAAGCGACAGTGACGAAAGTTGAAGGATGAGCTGCAGCTGATGGCACAGCAATCGCCTGAGGGTGTTCGGTGTTGGTGGCATCTATATGCAAGGCAATTATTGCGTGTTGACACGAAATCAGAAATATTTCAGTAACACTGATTCAAGCCTTTTTTTTTTGGTTACAGCAGTCGTATCCCGGATAATGGACTCTTCGCATGATAGCCGATTTCCTTTTGATACTGGACTATTTTTATTTCGAATATCGAAGTCGAAATACTGCTGTATGAATTTTAAGTCAAATTTTCCCCGCGAAATATGGCTGCGTGCTGAATTTTTCAAGTAGAGAAATGCTACGTTTTAAAAATCTCGGGTTGAACACAATATATTTCAGGTATGAATTATCTTGCTGTTGCTTTACGACATTAAACTTCAGCAATTTTGATGACACGTGGAGAAATTCCTCCAATGATCTGGAATATATTAGCTATTTTTTCAATTGCGTTTAAATTACTGAACTCGGTGTAAAGGTCTAATATTTAGCGTCGATTAAGTAAGTCATTTAATCATTACTCGTGACACTGTTGTACAGTACTGAAGGACACACGGAAATTATGCAAGGTTAGAGGAGTTAATGAAGATAAATATATCATTTTTATTTTCCCCTAGATCGAGCAGCGGTTTCTTTAAGAGCTCAAGGTTCGTGTAAACTAGCGACATCTAGCCAGAAAAAAACGGATAACTGTTTTGTCATTACTGTATTGTGTTTGTTGGTGAAGTGTGGAATCAGACCATTCAATATCTTTACCACAATTCAAAAGCCTACTCTGCTCGGACGCCTAATCTAGAATGTTCCATATAACAGAACAGTTTGATTGTCAACGTATTGTCAACATCTACCATATGAAAGTTGAACTATTCTGTTTTTACTTTCATTATTTTCGTTTCGATTAGGTTTTCAACTGAACAAGAAATACCTAGGATATATGACGAGAAATTACTAGTTAAATTATTTTCTGGTCGATGTGACCAAGGTGGGCGTTCTCACTACAAAACTTCTTGCAAAAAGGTGATTCTCTCCCAGTTTGCATGAATTCGACATACTTCGTTTGATGTTCGAAGAACGTTTCGAAATTTTCTAATGAGTCCCATACTCTTCGACAGTCGAGAGACGAGAAATTGAAAAAAAAATTCTTGGATATTTACCAAATATTCGAACTGGCAAAGAGCAGTTTTCACTGGTTCTCGGCATTCCTTGTCTCATTTCCCTGTCCATTCCAGACCCATCGAATGAAGTGCTCTGGGGAAGACGGAAAGTCAAGGAGCTCAGGCTGAAGAAATCAGCACTTGTGCCATCGATTGGCAAAACGGATGCACCCAAGGATGTCCTGTCCTCTTCTTGTCCTCCATTGGCTGCGTCATTCACTTAAAAAAAAAACTTATTTTAAACGATGAAATATTCTACAAATCACTTCCAAAAAATATCACCTTTTTTCTTAATAGACGAACTTCGATATTCGGAGTTCTGTAATAATATTTATGGTCATTCGCGGATTTGAGTGTATGTTTCTCTTGAGTTTTTATTTTTTTTTTTGAGTGCCGTCAATTTATGTATACGTTTATGATATCTTCGTATTCGCTGCTTTTTTCCATGGATCTCTTGGTTCACTGTGATTCACATAATTCACACAAGCATTTTTATTTCAAAATTTTTAATTTTCAACCATATGATCAAGTTTCAAAAGAGCCGTTCGATTTTTCCTTGCTAATTGTTCCGTTGTAAAGTTAACCCTTCAGATTTCGATCAACACTCGAGCGAATCATTTTTCTTTTATGCGGAAAAACATTTAAAATTCACAGACGAAATTTTTTTTTTAAATTATCGCACAATAATAATCTTTGAAGAAAAGGCATGCCGCGTTCGCAGCTAATTAAAATCAATTTTTTCCAAAACCTGCTACAAATTTCCAGTTGGTCCCAGTCATTAGCTTGAATAAAATATTTTGGAATTAAATTTTAAATAAGAAACTTTCTCTCTCTATGCTAAGAAAAAATCCAGGTTTTTTCTCGACATATCTGGGTTCTATAGCGAAAATGTGAGCGGCATGTATCAGAGGAGCAAATTTGGAAAGAGCACGTGGCAAAAGAGAATGTCAAAAATAATAGCTTTCTTCGGTTAGGTAAATTCGGGTTAGGCAGGTGGGAAATAGTTCATTCATCACTCCTTGCGATACGCTGATTATAAGAGCGTTTTGGCTATGGTAATTTCGCTATTTCATTGACTTGAAATTTTAAAAGCCAGTTCTTTTGATGCCTGCTCTTAATTCTTCAGACATATTTAATTCACCTGCTTGAGCTCGGTCGTCGGATTCCACCAGACCTGGGAGCCGATTCACAGGAACCGGCCTCTCAATCTGTCTTCGAGGTAAAAGCCTTTTCTCTTCCATCAAAGTCACATGCGTGTGATTGTCGCAGCAATATTTCATGCTCGCATACAACTTTCTGCCGAATAGAAATGGAAACTACGATTGGAATACGAAGTCGACAAAATTAAACTCAATTTTGTCCAGTATATAACAGCCGACACCACATTAAGTACTGTAGGTCTACGATGATATTTTACAGTGAACTTATTATTCCGGTACTAACAGACAACACTTCATTAGAAGATATGAGTTGTGACCAATCGCCATTGTGGTGAGGACAAGTTGAATCAAAGGCAGCAGGTCATCAGACTTGACGGATCCTCTCCAACCCTCAACAGCAGGTTCGATGCTCATGATGTTCACCAGCGCGAGGAAGGTGCACCAAAATGTCAAGAAAATCGCCTCTTTCATGAAATTGCAATTGACTGAATGAGACAGCCATTCTTTGTACGTCTGTGGGTTCGATCAGATGTGTTCGAAAAAAAGAACCTGATGATTCAAATGTGGTAAAAAAAAGGCAAATTACCAGCTGGGTTCTTTGGATAACAAAGGTATAGCCACAGAGTTCACAAGTCGGAGTTCCCCTCCATTCCAGCCACCCTTCCAAACATTCCTTGTGCACAAATCTGACACTTCCTACAGGATGTTGTCCTTAAGGCGTTTTCAACTTGCTTTTCTGTGTGCCTCCAAAAATCCTTTTACTGGTACTTTTGCACAATGACATATTAAAAGTAGTTAAAGGGCACTTACCAGCCTCCTTAACTTTTATATTAATTCAACAAAAATTCGATATTAATTCCTGCATTGAATATAATGACAGAATTTTCTGGCTTTGATTTACAGTATTTGAATATTCGCGGATACGGAAAAGAGCTGCCGATTTTTTCCCGTGGTATATAAACTATTTTAAGTCAAACCTTTCGTCAAAAATCTCCACTATACAGTACTAGGATTCCTACTAGGTTAGTGTAGTATAGTATAGTATACAGTATTATAGTTTAGTATAGTATAGTTACTAGTACTGTAAATCCCCAGCCAATCCACGTAAAAATAATGCATATGAAATCTCACTAACTAAAGCATTTCTGTCTCTAACTTCCCTTGAGTAAAATTCTCCATCGCCCTTGCAATAATAAACGGGCTAAATTTCGGAAGACCTGATGCAGAACATGAGCAAATTTATATTAAAATGTTTTCAACAAGGAATTCGGCAACCTCCTGGACGTAGGACATCGAAGAATAATTAAATCTTCGAATTATGATGCCAGAAAAGCCTTCTATTGATTAAACTGCAAAAACAGGCGATATTTCTTCGATATTTTTTCCTCAACTGCTAATCATGGAGAATTATTTCTGCAAAACTCCTAACGTCGAATTTGTTAAGTCCCTTCAAATTCATGGATCATTTTCATTAACGTAAGAACATGAGAATGTCCTTGCAGTTAATACAAATAAACTGAAGGAAAACTCCATATATAAAGCTCGAGTTTGTGCGAACACCCACTTTGACAGAAATCAGATTGTGAAAAAAATATTTCTGCAGAACGAACCACTGCACCAACATGGAGTGATCAAACGTTTCCCAGGTCCAGGGCCTTCCAAACAAATCCTACACATTTCCTCATTTGAATCATCGTTACTCCTCGAAATCGAGTGTTCTCCGGTCGTTTGGTCAGTTGCGGGATTGGGCACAGGATGATTTGGAGCGACACCCGGTGCTGATGTTGCAGAACGTGCAGCAATGTCTTCTCCACTCAAACACCGAGTGTCGCTCAAAACAGGAATTCCGCAAAAGTTGAACGAAAAGACACACGGAGGTTTTTAGGAAAATGACCATGAAAACGTGTTACTGTATAATTTTCATCAATTTCCCGTGAATGGTCGGAGGAATTGAAAATATAATCTTCAAAAAAAATTCGATATTAATTCCTGCATTGATTATAATGGCAGAATTTTCTGGTTTTGATTTACAGTATTTGAATATTCGCGGATACGGAAAAGGCTGCTGATTTCTTCCCATGGTATACAAACTATTTTAAGTCGCACCTCTCGTCAAAAATCTGGGCACAATCCCCAGCCAATCCACGTAAAAATAATGCATATGAAACCTCACTAACTAAAGCATTTCTGGCTCTAACTTCCCTTGAGTAAAATTCTCCATCGCCCTTGCAATAATATATGGGCTAAATTTCGGAAGACCTGATGCAGAACATACGCAAATTTATATTAAAATGTTTTCAACAAGGAATTCGGCAACCTCCTAGACGTAGGACTTCCAAGAATAATTAAATCTTCGAATTATGATATCAGAAAAGCCTTCTATTGATTAAACTACAAAAACAGGCGATATTTCTTCGAGAATTTTTCCTCAACTGCTAATCAAGGAGAATTATTTCTGCAAAACTCTTAACGTCGAATTTGTCAAGTCCCTGCAAATTTGACTAGGAGCTTTCCGTTATATAAGCCTCTTCAATTTCATCATCTGACTTTTCCATTCCTAATCATGGATCATTTTCATCAACGTAAGAACATGAGAATGTCCTGGCAGTTATTTAATACAAATAAACTAAAGGACAACTCGTATAAGGCTCGAGTTTGTGCGAACACCAACTATGATAGAAATCAGATTTTGAAAAAATATATTTCTCCAGAACGAACCGCTGCACCAACATGGAGTGATCAAACGTTTCCCAGGTCCAGGGCCTTCCAAACAAATCCTACACATTTCCTCATTTGAATCATCGTTACTCCTCGATTAGCTCACAAGAGGCCAGCAAACCAGTCAACGCCCTAACCCGTGTCCTACTAAACCTCGCTGTGGGCCACGACTACAACGTCTTGCACGTCGTTACAGAAGAGGTGAGTTTGTGGCTCACAGCGAGTACGTACAGTACCCCTCGGAATCCGCTCCACGCAGCTCTTGCTGGTCATCCGCTAAAACGTCTGCTCTTCCATCATTGATTTCCGCGATCGCCATTTGATATGTATTCGGTTTCTTTGCATTGCATACAATATGCTCTTGTGCTTGTTTTATATATATATAGTCAATCCTTGCAAGTAGAAAAATGGAATGAGATCAAATTCCACTCATCTCCTATCGTCTTATTTAAACGCATCGTTTCCTTCCGAAACCCTTGTACGGTTTCTCCGGACAATCGATTCGAACTACGGAACCGAAACGTGGAGAGTAAAGAGAAGTACTGTAAAGTAGAGTAACAAATTAAACACGATTAAAGAGAAATCATTTCGGTCGGTGACCTCGGGGTCTGGCTACACACAGTCTTGCGTGTTTAGCATTAATTTCCATGGTTTCCAGATAGCGAAGCCACAGTAAAATATGGGACCTGGTTTTCGCCAGCTGTTGGTCATGCGCCTGGACTCAGTACAGTACTGTACTAGGTTCAGAGGACTATCCTACAAACGTATTTAAGCCCCCAAAAGAGGGAGAAGACACTGGACACTGTCTCAGAGATATCTTTTTTACCTGACGACTCTTTCTTATACTGGACCTATATTTATCACAATCACTTTTCTTTTGGACATGGCGCATGATGCAATTCTCCAAACAATGGGTATAAGGAAATTTCGCCGCATTTCTCTGGTATAAGACACGATATTCTTTGCTCAATTGGTAAAAAAATATTGTAATTGGGAAAGTCCTGAACAGAATGGTTTCTAAAGTGAAGGGTTTGATCTTTCATAAATTCTAAAGATAACAATAAATGAAAATAACTGCGTACACTATTCAATTCAATCAATAGAAATTTTTAAGGACTTACATTTCCAGAAAACCAGAGTTATCATCCGCCATTGTTCGAAGTGCTTTCTGTATTTTTGGGAGATCAGGTTGGTGCAACGGAATGAGAAAAATCAATATAAAAAAGGCTTCTCTGATTTTACAAAATATATTGTACTTATTGAAAAACCGCATGCTTCAAGCTTGTAAGGGAGTTTTCAAGTCCCGTTTTTAAAGAGGAAAAGGATGGACAATACTCTTGTAGAAACTCTCCACTATTATCACTCAGTTGAATTCCAGTTTCTAAAGCTTGAAAACCACCACGGAATTTCAAGTCTGAAGAACTTGGCGAGTATTCTAAGGGATTACAATCTATGAACCTAAGTTACATTTTTTAATGACTACTTATGAAAATATTTGCTGCGGAAGAACGATTAATAAAAGCTTACGCTATAATACTGTATATCTATATATTTCGTGTAAAGGGATTTCTAAAATTCGATTAAATCATTGTCCGAAAATTGTCATTTCCATGACATCCCATGTCATATGATAAAGGAACTCACGTTTATGGTTTATCTGATTCACCGTCCCTTCGAAAATATTTTTTATAAAAGATTTAATTTACTGCTTCTCAAGCCGTACGGAACTTCGCGTTATTTTATTTTTCCCGCCATTAAAAATATTCCGTTTTTTGCACATCATCAAAAAGAACGTGTTGGATTTTTTTTCCGACGCACTACATCAAAGCTAAATGAGAAACCAAAATAAAAATAAAAATGGAGGCAAAATGGTTTGGAGACCGCATATGACACGGCGACAGTTTCAATTAGCAATGTCGTCCTCGGATTTTGCGTTTCTCAGATTGGAATCTTCGTGATGCAAAAAGAAAATGACACATGAAAGCAGGGGCTAGAGCGGAAAGTAGGGAAATGGAAAATGTTTCGGGTGGGGAGGAAAACCCCTGGAGCAGAAGATGATGTTCACTAGTGAGATGAAACGACTCTCTCTCTCTCTCCTCCAGAGCCATGAACCAGGTTAGGGTCCCCCGAGGCAAGGATCCCGAATGATGCACCCCCTCCATCACGGCTGCAGTACAAACCGTGGAGCTTCATGCAATAAACATTTGTCATAGTACTCCCGCAATGAATAAGTGCCGAGAGTGTCGCAAAAATTCTCTTTGAGAGAAATCGCCCGGGGAACTCTTACAGCTCTTGCATCTCATGAATTAAATGAACCTTGCATGTTTTCAGCCTAGAAAAATATTATCTTCGAAATTTAAAGGTCGAATCCTTCACGATGGTTGCCTTTAAAGGTCGCATCCTTTGAAAAGGTTGCCTTTAAAAATTGCATAAATTGTACCTCCTGATCACTGAACAAAACATTTTTGGACATTGGTCACTGCTAAGCCACCCTGTTGGTAATTTCTTCTAAAACAAAAATGAAAAAGCGCGCAAAAAAACCTCAGGAACAATTGTTTTATGGAAATTGGAAAACAACCCTTTGCTACCCAAGGGGTATCCATCATCCTTTTTTTTTTTGCTGATGAGATGCATTCTCAGACCTAGCTTAAGATATGTCAAGATTCCTGAAAGAAAATTGACTCAGCTAAAAAAATATATCCAGTGAAACTTCTCGATTAAAAAAAAGCTCTTGTAACAATTTGGCCTATGCAAAAATATTTTCCGAATACAAGTCGAACAATCAAAGCTTTATATCATCAAGAGCTTGAGTTTTGCAGAAAAAAATTTGGAACTTTTTGTAATTTCGAGTCTTGGCAAACATTAAGTATTTTGTCTTTGAAACCCATCCCTCTCTGACTATCTTACCTTGAATTTTTTAAGTGAATCCTTTTTTTCTAATTTCTGTCAGTCTCCATGGAACTTTTTTTTGCTGCCATCTACAGTGCATTTTTATTTTTTGCTGTAAGTGAAAACCTATACGATTGTATCACGCAAATCTGTTTTTTTTTTCAATGAGAACAAGTGGTAATCGATGCAATTTATTGGGTCATCAGCGCCCACGAAATGCCTACCCAGCATTCAAACACCCGCCCCTCACAACCCCTCGCCAGCTGAGTCACTCATCCCATGTTTTATAGAAAAGGGAAGCGGGGGAATGCAGCAAGAAGAGAGGGAAAGCGGGGGTCGGAGGGAATAACGGGGACACCGGGGGGGTTCTCTTGTGCAAGAACTGGCTAACCCAGGACAGTGCCGGCGCGGCTGGCTGGTCCGAGAGTCGCTCCCATCACGGGTTATACGAGGCCCGTGGATCTTTTTTCCAGTGGGTGCTGTTAGGTACCAAGTGCGTCGTGGGGGTTGTCACCCAATTACTTCATATTTCTGGCAAAGAATACTATTTCATTTATCATTATTCCTACACATATGCCATCTAATCAATCCGAGACGCGACTAGGTTGTCTATATTCCAGAAACCTTTCGATTTTCGATCCGTTTAACACACGTTCTGGTACATGGGAGTCCAGAAAGTGTTACGCAAGATTGTATTTGGATCCATGGCATAATAAACTTGCGTAACATTTGCTTTGCAAGTTAGGTGAGGCCTTGGAACAGAATATACCATTATACAGAGACTTCATGTGCAGAAAAAAAAAACGTTTTGTTATGATGAGTCTGGTGTGCAAAATCAACCAAAAGTGGCAGATTTTTCAGTCATTTGGTGTCTTCTTTTACTGTTGATAAATTGCTGCAACTTCTTGTTAATTGAGATTATGCTGTCTTAACTAACTATATGTTAAATGTGACGCTCACAGTTCAAATGCAAAGATAAATAGATTATATATTGTACATACAGTATATGTATTTAGAAACACTCCACACTCTAATCATGCGGTGATGTGAGAAGCAAGGGAAACCTTGTTCCTTTTCTCCAAGAGAAAAAGTAATTTAACCCTTGGGTGGCTGTTCCGGGATTTATCAGCAAAATTTTGGGTCCTAAGGAGTAGAAAAAAACGGGG